ACAACAGGAAGAGGAACCATGACCACACGTTTCCTTTACGGTGAAGTGTGGTGTGTGGTTAACATGGCCAACGTACCATCAAAACAAATCAAAGCTCACCACGAAGACAAGTATCGTGTAATGAAATAAGCATGTACTAAAACATAACAAAATAAATCAATGTAATGGTGCATAAGTGCATATAATTTGGCGAATCTCTACCCTTTCCCAACTTCCACGCTTTTAAAACAAGGCAAATTGACGACCCATTGAAAACAGACATATTTTATTGACCTTTAGCGCGCGTGTGTGTGTGTGTGTGTGTGGTTGTGTGTGTGTTCTCGTGGCTCAGACACCATTCCTAGACGGACAGGTACGGGTTATGGCTGAGATAACGAGACCAAGGTTATTTTCTCCCATTTGACACAAATCAACAGGCCTGATTGGCTAGAGAGGCTGATTTGAATAATTTTACTTCCTCTTACTTGTCCGTGCAATTCTGTGTCGAGTTAGACGAGCTTTGCTGACAGGTACAGAAAAAAGGCGCGAGTGCACTAAATTATTTTAAGTCAAGAGTATTTAACAAAATAAAAAAAATGTCTATGTGTATTTGATCTCTGTATGACAAAACAAATATCTCTTTAACTCATATGCCTGAGTTTTTTCACCGTGAAATCAAAATTTTCCGTTATTTTAGACGATGAGCGTCAAATCAAGGAAACATCAATAAAAGAGACAAAAAACAACAGACAAAAACAAACAGGAGACGGAATTTTCATGTGTGACCCACATCGAGAAATTCGGAGTGCGCCAACAGAAGTGAGAGGTGGGCGGGGGGGAGGAGCAGGCCAGGCAACGTATTGATCGCTCCCTGAAACTGGCACAAAGCACGCTTGTACAACACAGTGGCAGTTACTCAATTTGGACAGCCGCACGCGAGATCACTACACACACCGTACACATCTGTGTTACAATTCAATGATTTGCAATGGGTTGGTCAACATGTTTATTCAACATGCACAAAAAAAACCCACACTAAAATTAGTTAATTTAAATGTATCAATTTTTTTAACTAAGAAACTATATATATATATATATATATATATATATATATATATATATATATATATATATATATATATATATATATATATATATATAATGATTACCCAAAAAATGGCATACGTGTGACAGCCACCACCTCGGATGTGACAGCCACCACCTCGGAGAGGGGGGGGGGGGGCGGGTATATATATGTTTGTATGTTAGACCAGTTTTCCTTGAAGTGTTGTCTAAAAAGTAATCAAGAATAACGTATGACCGTTACGAAGTACAATGAGTGCTACATAAATGATGACCAACTACTAAGGTATGATGACCAACAAGGATGTGATGAGTGTTGACCACCCGACGAAGTGTAATGTCCAGCTACGATGACCATCCAAGAAGCCAACACACAACTGCAGGACACAGTCGCATCACGTGACCAGAACGAGGTGGTGCGATAATTGAACACCTAGCACGCGTGAGTGGTTTCACCGTCACACCCCCATTGTCACCAGGTACCGCCGGGCGAAATTACCGCTAATGACGTCATTATGTGCGTTCTTTCGATCTCGGGATTAGCAATGAATATTGTGTAAATGCGCTTTTTTCCCCCCTGTCGCCAGCAGTTGGGAGCTTGTGGCGAGGGCTCAAGTGGTGTGGGAGGACAGATGGGAAACAACGTGGAACGTAACAGATTGCTAAGGCTAATAGATTGAGAGAAAAGGGGCGGGAAGGCTACTGGGATAACAAGGGGTTATTAAATAATAAATGTAGGGGGGGGGGTGTAAAGAAATACACGGCACACTAGAAAACACACGGGCTGACAAAACACGGCGCAAAACAGCTGTCATGAATGACAACAACAAACGGCAACAAGGATTTGTATTACTTGGGTTCAAATCTTAGTGCTATAAACAAGTTTACAAGTAAATAACTATTGAGGAGTTTCTTGATAAACAGAAGCAACATTCCCTTTAAGAATAAAAAAAAGTTTTGTATATAAGGAATAGGAAATGTACAAAAGCAAGCACGTTTACACTACACGAAACGAAGCATTATGCTTTCTACAAGCAATACACGCCCGAACAAAATTGAACTCGACATACAGCTCAACATAAAACGTATTTGAGATCGTAGAAAATACATTTCACATAGGAGACAAAACGTTTATGAATAATTCGCACCGGTCCTCCGTCTCCATAGCAATCCACGCTACAAGACCACGCGCCGCGGACAGGCAGCTCTAACATACACGCTCTTTAACGCTGACAGTAGGCCAGGCACAGCACTCACAACCGGGCAGGGAAAGCACTCACGGGCAAGGAAGATTAGTAACAACTGGCGACCAGAGTGGTGTACGTGGCGCCTGCTGAAGAAAGCCTCTAGTTTATCCCTCGGCATCAGTCTCGGCTATTGATGCCAAGTTAGGCAGGCCATTGTTTGAGTCTACCCCCCCCCCCCTAGTACAATGTTCTCAAGCTGACGTGTGAGTGAAGGTACGGCACTCTTTCTCCAGCAGTCACTGTGTAACAGAGGGAGCCGAGTGAGAGGGTAGCTAACGAACTCACCTATGACGTAGTATAAAATATATCGCAGTAACCACAAACCAACAGGACACACATCCACGTCATTATTACTTCTTTTTACGAGACTGTACGCGAGGGTATTTTTTATTTTTTTAACACATCAGTCACTTGTTTTTAATAACTGTAACTTTAAATAAACAAACATAACGTTAACGCCCATTATTGTCTTAACGTATTTCTTAACGTCACGCTGTTAAAGTGCCTCCTGTACATATATAACTACCCAAATAACAACATTAATTATGACAGAGCTAGACACGTTCCGTGTCTATTTATGTAACAAAGAACTTAAACATTTCCTAGGAATAAACCCTTTATACCACGTAACTATTTACAAGCTACGTCTTACGTTGCCTTTCAAAACTAGTCGACCACACGAACAACCATTAGACAACCACAGAAGCAACCACAACTCGATAAATGTAACACCTTGAACGAGAAATATATGGGATTGGCCATAATAAAAAAAACCCATTCAAACTATCAATATTATAAACAAACAAAAAGGTATATTTGACAAAAATGGATGTCGGGAATACAATATCAGCCCTCGATATACAGCTCGGTTGTTGCTTTTTTTTTTTTATATCCCCTGCCACTGGGTGATTTTATAAATTATTCCAAAGCCATTCTACCAGAGCAGACGGGTTCAAGACTGTACAGGATCACACGACAATGAATGCGGATTTTATCAAATCTATTCAACATACAGCCACATATACTGGGCTTGTGCTGGGGGGAGAGGTGTGGGGCAGGGAAGGGGGAATAAATGAGGGTACCGGCGTGAAGGACGTTTATCGCTGAGGGGTGTATGTATTGTTAGAGTGCTCTAGGCAAATAAAGACAGCTTATGAACGGTGACACCCGGCCTGTCTGGGCAGGTTGCCGGCGTACCGACTCGCTCGCTGACGTTCAAAGCTCGGTGCCTAACAAGCCGAGACTTGAACCTGGGCCAGTCACGTTGGCGAGGGACCTCCATGAATAGAAGAAAACTAGTTTATCTGATTAGTATTACCTGTTTATAAACTCGTTTTTTTCTTCTTTCTTAATTTAAAAAAAAAATAATTTTATTCTTATATTTTATTTTCCGCGGAGAAAGAAAATTATGTCTACACATGTTTTACACGTTATACACAGCTATATATAGACATGACAGAATAAACAGAAACAACGAGTCAAGAATGTTTACATTAACACTGATGCAATACTAGTTATAGCCTATCTCTATCGAGGCTGTCACGAGTGTCTGTGTAGTTTTTCTTCTCGCATAAGAAAAAAAGCCTTGCATTTGAATCATTATCGATTTCTTTAAAGATTGATAAGTAGCAGCACTTAGCATAAGAAGGTTAAGGGGCTCGTGCATATGTAAACTACAACATACGCTGAGTTAATGACGCACTATTACCGTATATATTTACATACACACCGGCTGTGCGCAGAGCGGCGCAAGGCCATACAAAAGCATATAACACAGAACATGTACATACAGGGCACAGCACTGACGTGGTCTAGTGCTGAAAGCACGCATAACCAGCTACCATGTTCGTAAACGTGGGGGCCCTCGTTTTCTGGAATACGTATCCACCCTCGTTACATTTCCAGATCTTTCTTGCTTTAGATTTCAACACAGTAAAGGCATAAAGAATTAATTGAAAAGAAAAAAGCCAAGAAAATATTGCCGCACAGAAAATAGGAATAAAGCGGATTTTTTTTTTCAAAATCAATAAGAAACGTTCCAAAAAGGAACGGGCGGTTGCACAACAAAGTAATAGATAAGAAAAAGCTAATTCTTTACAGTTAAGTGCATACGCTTACGACTAATCTGCAATATTTGCTTGTATATTTATTTGTTTTCATTTTCTTCTAGTCAGCACACCGTGACAGAATGAAAAAGCAACTTAACAAACATATTTTTAGCTTTAGACTGAACAGACGAAAGTTTTGAATGACACAGTGCAAGTAGGCTACTCGTGACGTTTAAGCCCTTGAGTTTTCACTACAATTTTGGGAGATTTAGAAACACACAGGCGGGTAATCAGCTACCGGGCATGATGTCGAGGTTTTAATTTAATATAGAAGGATTTAAATACTGACTTATTTACAGTTATTTAATAGATTTTTTTAAAAAGTGTAACTATATATATTTAAAATAATTAATTTGATGATAAAAAAAAACCAAGGTAGACTAAATAAAACTGCAAGAAACCATAAGAATAACTCATTTGATTTTTAAAATCTATTCTGATTACCCATAACATTTGGCTAACATTTTAATGTAAACACCGGACAAAAATAATCTATGTTGTGCACTGGTTCTCAAAATATCACTGTGCTACTAGACTAGCCTAAACAGTAAGATATATGTTATAAAAAAAAATAGGAACTGACCCACTGGCTGATAATCGCTGTTGTTACCTCCAACTGTCAGAAAATCTGTTTGAAAAAAGACTTTGAAACATTACTAAAGAAAACAAAATTTCTTGTCATGTAAAGCTAAGCGTACTCAATACAGGTAGATAAAAATAAACTATACGTTAGTATGCCAGTTTGGATTAGTAAAGCGACAAGTGTTATAAAATTGTTAGAACAAAGAATAAGCGTATATATACATCTATTGGTTAAAGAATGCATGTTGATTATAATGAAAAAAAAATTAGCAATAATTAAAACAAAAAGACTGGATATTTGATGAACTTGGACCAAACATTTTTTAAAAAGTTTTTAAGTGCTAGATTTTAATATTTGGGTTACAGACGGAAGCTTTCTAAACGATACAAAAGTCGAAGTTGGTACTAAGATACGAGAAAGAGAGGAGTATAGGCAGAGAGGAGGTAGGGAGGGGGCGGGGAGACAGAATAAATTGGCCGGTAAATCTCAGAAAAAAATTTGTCAAAAGCAGACAAAGGTTCCATAAAAAGGCGTCGCTTAGATAAGCGAAACAAGGGAGGGTAGAAAGATAAACAATGGGACATGGGGCGGGACAGTGTCAAACAGCGTACAATTACCAAGAGATAAGATTAGCACCGGACACCCGGAGCATGCTAAGGCGGAAACCGTTCAGCACCCGTGCTGCACGGTGCGCAAACAAGGAAGAGAAGAGTGCCGCCAAGTGCCGTTACGCATGTTTGTTTTCAGCCGTATCGTCTTGCGTTGACGACAAAACAGATCTGCTTGTTGATGGTCGCAACTTGTCCGCGTTTCCCCGCTTAGAGACAAGTCCGGATATATAGACGCGTAGATCTACAAGATAGCGTACAGACAAGTCCGGATAAAACGTCGCGATCTAGATCTCAACGTACAAAGTGTGCTGCCTCGCGCGAACGACTTGACCACAAACCACATTTCAATGGCTTCAAAAGAAAACTAATACTCTTTAAATAAAAAAAGATTAACATCAGGTTATATAGAATGATTTTTATTGTACTCTATTTGTAATTTTTAAAATAAAATCAAGAAAAATGTAATTGCAAATATTTTAGAAACAGGAGAAATAAAGTCCCGCCGACATTTACAATATTTTCCTCATATTCACATATGTCTGCCATCGTGTTTTTTTTTTTTTTTTTGTAGTTGAATAAAAAATTAACCGTGTTGTAAAGATCGACCAACGCCTCGGGGTGTAATATTTCTAATGGCGGGTTGACATCGGGGAAGCGATGTTAAGAAACGAGACAACAAGCGAGGGGGAAAAATGACTCACGGGGTTTTAACTACACAAGATAAATGAAATAACGAGAACATTAAACTTAAATGAGAGAGGGAAGCAACATAACGCGGGATCAACGCTAATAAATGTTAACAGACGGAGACAACTCTTAAAAATATGTATTAGCAAGGACACGATCTTCTCACGTGGAAAGAAATTACTTAACAACCGTATCTTAGTTAAGTTGGTACTATTTTTTTTTAAAGATGACAAATTGCACAAGAAGGTGTGTCCGCGCGTGCAAGCTGTCCAGTGAAGGTTCCAGTCAATAGACCTTGAACGTCATCACCAAGCTCACTTCGTCACTACAAGCCGGCCCTCGTCTTTACATTTGCTCCTTGATTGGGGGAGTAAATTTAGAATCGCTCCTAATTAACGTCACTTTCCCTTCACAATCTCAAGGGTGCTTTAGTACGATGGATTGTTAGTGAACTGCATGGCAGGGTTATAGGGACGTTAGAGAGGGGGTGGGGGCGGCATCTGATCTTTGAAGCTAATGGGTTAGAAGACGTTCAGGACTGACTGTAAGATGTAACGTACGCTAGGTTATTAGCGTCATTTTTTGTGTGAGAAAAATGTATCCATGTAGGATCTGTTCCATTCGCTTTTTTTTTTTCCTGTCTTTAACATTTCTGTTATAGTTCTGAATCAAGTATAAAACGTTTTGAAATCCTTCATGTTGCTTCACTAACTAAATGTTGGAAATGGCTAATGATTATAATGGGTATCTTTTTGTACTATAAATAGTGACTGATATGCCTAAACATGTAACACCTTTTAATATTTCAGTGTTTCTATAAGTATTTAACTATGTAATGGTAGTAGTCTAAAAGTACACCCAACGTGAAAATATCTGCATGGATGGTATAATTAGATCCAGCGTTTTAAAACCATCCTCTATACAGCATAATTTCTATGCTGGGAGATCGTGAACTGTTTAGTCATACTTATGTTACTCAGTGGTCTCCAGGGGCTGCTTGGGGCGCGGGAGCTAATGAATACACAAAGTACTCAGAGATAGGGAGAGAGGTGGAGCGCTGTGCTGCTGTGTTAGAGCTACTATAGACAGAAACTCTATGTGGTCTCGTACGTTAAGAGGGGGAAAAATTGACAAACTTGTTTTTTTTCGTATGAAATAATCCTATTTTACTAGTTCTCTGTGCGTATTTTTGGAAACGAGCCTAGAATCAGAAAACAAATCTGGCTATGTCTAGCTTGACAAGAGAGTCATACAGAACCGAACGGCTCCCGAGGGCGGAGGAAGAACACAGACGAGATATCACAAATACACCGGAGAGATATCTTAGCTTGAACTGTGTGGATGGAATTCGATCTGTTAAAACGACATCAGATGTTTACTTAAATAATGTATGTAAACACATTATCCCCCAGATAATCTGTACATTTTCCATACAAGCTAAGTATTTAAATATAAACAAGTTGATTTGTATTGTCACGTAACAATATTTTATATACATTTAAAAAAAAAGTCATTCTGTATAATAAATTTTTACTACTACTTTAAAGTACTACCGGATGTTGCACATCCCCTACCCTTATAAGCCCACACAGTGGACTCACGAGTCCCAGTACAGAGAAACTCCATTCTGCTCAACTTCTATTTAATACCAAGGCTTTTGGTTAGATCCTGTTATCCCTCCATGCCATCTCGCCAATTGATGAGACTAGGGTCGAGTCACTGTTTGAGGCCGAGACCCGGACCAGCTTTAGATAGAACTTTGTCCCTCTCTACCCCTCCCTCTTTTCCCTTCCTCTTTTCATTTCACCTCCCCCAAACACCCAAGAAAATACCCTCGCATAAAAAGACCAGTAGATTTTTTGACCCCCTCCCCCCTTTTCCACCCCTTCCTGTGTGGCGTCGACGAAATCACGGGGTTGGCAGAAGGCCTGCTGCTTGGAGCCCGGCCGAGCCGAAGGCCTTTCTTGTACCGCCAGATCGTCCCGGAGATTAATTGGCAATACATTAAAAAGATGAGAATTCTCGAGGACCCCGACCCGCGCGAAATGGAAAAATCGATACACTTAGTGAGTTATAAACTCCCGTGTGTTTACCATGCTTATAATTTTGTTTTCTGCTGGTGGGGGGTGGGGAAGCTGCTTTTTTTCCCCTCCGTCTTCACTACAACGGAGAGGAGAAAATTGCACGAGCAAACGACGAGGACTACATTTATTTGAAGTGCGGAGTTTCTAAACGCACGTAAATCGTGTTGAAAACCGTGATGTATCTTTGTCCCGTTATCTAGTTTTTTTTTCTTTCTTCTCTAAAGTTAAACACGGCATAAAAGGGTTAAAGCTAGTAATTCAAAGCTCACGCATACAATGCCGTTAAACGATTTTTATTTTCGTTTTCAACCAAAAATTAGAAGGCGAAAAGCATTAACAGCCATGCTTAGGAAGCTAAACTTAAGAAATGTGAAACTAAATGGTATTTTTAGATGTAAAACTAAATGGCGTTTTCAAAAACTCGACAACGTGTGTTCGATATTATTTTTGTGAAGGTATTGTTAACCTAACCGTAGCCAAAAACTAATCACCAACCTAGTAACAAAATGATTTTAAAAATCCCATTCTTTGTCAAAATCCCTAAGAAACAAATAAAGCACTCGATCTTCAGCTCGAGAAATGCTGTTTAAGTTAAATGGATATAAATAGCGTGACGAGTTAATAAGGAAATAAGAACCCGGCGGTGTAGTACAAGCCATGTAAATCGTTCAAAACTATTTTACCCCGACCACTCGCCCCACGGCCGAGCCAGCATCTAGTCCTGACGACAACAACAGACGACAATCGGGATAATGGCACCCAGATTGGAGTAGATCATGAGCGTCTCGTTGAGGAAATCAACAAACGATCATTCTTAATTGATGTAATACGAATATAAATCAATGTTCATGAGAGCAGGAATAAGGGGGAGGGAGAGAGAGAAATGGCACACACTCACTGAAACGTGTAGGGAAATTTGAGACAAGTGTATTACACATAATGGTTCTTTTCATTGATTCCCTGAAGACTCCGGGGTAAGTCAAAGACGACGTCACGCATTACGTAATTATTAGTTAACAAGGTAAAAAATAAACGACGGGGGGAGGGTAGTGTTTTCAACACACGATGTTAATCCTTTTATTACAGTGGTCGTTGAAAGGGAAACAATGAAAGCAGACGTGTATAGTGAGGCTATAAATATCCAAGAGAAGACAGAGTTATTGACCGATGGAGTTATCTCCTTGATACTCGTACTACGGTTATGAGGCTAAGTCTAAAAGGTTAAACGTCATACTTGAGTACAAAATATCCGTGGTCTACGTCACAGAGTGACGACATTCAAGTCTCGGCACATCGTGAAGGGAGGGATTGGCGAGGGAATTTATTTGAAAATGTATACAACTAAACATGAACTTTCATTGTGTTTAACTTGTTAATGCGTGGTTATATAATTTTCACCTGGAAGTGGTTTTGGAATTTATCTAAGGTATAAAGAAATGACTGACCTTTGTGAGATAATTAGAAATGTCAACGGCCGGAAACGACCAACGATAGCGGAGAAATCACAGGGCACATCTTTTATAAAATGCGCAATTCCAGAAAACTAACGATAGACCTTTATAAAATAGCTCATTTAAGGAATCCAAAGGCCAGCCGTTTAGAAAACCGTTCATTTTATGTAGGAGTCCCCTCCCGTTTTCCCTGGATTTCAGATATACGTATAAAGTTGCTGAAATGTTGAACTGTATGTATGTACAAGTGACCGAAGAAAGTTAGACCTTTACTAATGGTCAATATAAGCGCTCGACAATCAAATAGTAGGTAAAACATTTACAACAAAAGAAACAGGTAGATAATCAGATCATTTTGTTTAACAACACAAATATAAATTTTATAGATTTCCGGACGCCGGAAAAGATAGGATTGACGTGTGTCAATGTATGATAGAGTTAAGGTTTTTTTTTTAGAAATCTCCTTAAAAACATGTTTGAATGCAAGAAAATGTACCCTGTTTAAAAAAGCAAACCCATTTTTAAAAGATAAACATATAAACCTGCACAAATTCAACGATGTTTATTACTTTTTAGTACATTTCAACGCCTTTGTTTCTTTGAGTTTATTGTATAAAGGCCAAAACTACAAGGTGCCCATTTATCTCAACCAGCCAGTGACCCTCTTATCCCCACCCTTCACCACAGGGACTACTTTTTTAATAGCTCGCGTGTTTACGTTTCAGCAATGGTAACGATAAAAAATGTATGATACACTACTGTCATTATTCACCGGCGCGCCTTTGTCTCCACAACGCACGCAAATGCATTAGCAATAGCGCTCACTCACCTCCTGTCTTTCTCCCCCCGCCCTCGCCATACCGCCCGTACCTTGGAGGCTAGGCTTTTCAGCCACTGTGTTCAGTACGCAGACATTGAAACTAGATTGTTTTCTGGTCCGGCCAGGACAAGAACTTGACCGGGGAGGGAGTGAGTGGGTAAAAAAACGGGGAGGGGTGAAGGAGGGGGGAATTACAACGCTTTGGACGTGTCGCCATTTTGTAGTGGATACAAAGACGTGAGACCAATAAAGAAAAGTAGCAGTTTCAAGCAGATTATGTAAATTAAGTATTAATTATTTTTACGTCCCTCGATAATTGCTCGGCAATTAAATCTACGCCTCTATTAATATGGCTGATTAAATTAATTACAGACTACAATAACCTAACAGTACAGAGAGCAGAGATATACAATAATCAAAGCTTCACTTAATACCGGGATAGGATACAATTTGCAAAAAAAAAAATTAAATATGTAACAGAAAAAAAACTTTCTATTATAAAAAAATATATACACATTTTTAGTCGGAAAGAAACCATAATGGAAACCCGCGCTTTGAAATTTTACACTAAAACACCATTTTTATAATACACACAAATAATAAATATAAAATTGAATGCACTTTCTAACCCTATGTACATGTATGAAATATACGTGTGTATAAAAATTGAATAGAGAAATTAATTTTTGTCTCCCGCTGGATGACGTGCCGCCATGTTGTATCTGCTAGACAGACAGACATTTGTCAATGTCTGGCTAAGCAGGTGCGATGGGATACATTTTTTCCCCTTCGAACATTTATTTTTATAAAGTCGGCTCTGTTTCAACATGAAGGATTTATCAGAGCTCGAGCTGGAGATCGAGGTTTTCAATTGAAAAGTGGGGTTTTTTTTTTACAAGTTGGACGAGAGATAGTATATACAACATAGAGAAATAAGTCCCGTTGTAACTTTTGTACAAGAAAATAAACTTAAAGCTAGTATACACAATTACAAAAACCAACAGAAACAACATTCAAAATGAAGTAATTCGCTAGTTTAAAAAAATCCACCATGAAATGCATCATTACAAACGTCATAATCTGCCTCGAAACAGACAATACATTGGACACGTCGACATGCGTGCCCACGTGATCAGTGTCTAGGCGATTACAAAAATTACATCCAGCAAATTTCACGCTATGCCGTACGCCAACACACGCGTACAAAGCTCATGAGTCAAGACTGTGAAGAGAAAAAAGAAAACAACAGAAAACGAGCCAAGCAACGAGGGTGGAAGTAGAAAAAAAAAGAGTGCTTATTTCTGCTTGCCATACATGCTCGCTGAATAGCGGGAAATGCCCAAAGAAAATTGCACAAATTATCCAAACGCGGAGAAAAGAACTGGAAAATGGTTCAGGAGAAAAAAAAATGATGAGGGGGTAAAGGTTGTTCGTAAAAACATCCTGCCATCTTCTGTGTGTATTGCTACATATGGAAGTTAATGATCTTTTAAGCAAATAAAGTGGTTAAATAATTTTGAACGTTTGTGAAAAAAAAGTTGCAATATTCCGTTTCACATAAGGTATAAAAATGGTTCAGTGTGGATAGGTATATTGTGTATAACTATTAGCACAAAGCTTCGCTTGATGCACGCTGGGATTAATTTGCAAATTGATTTTATTGTTTGGATTTGTAATTTTAAAGCACGCCAAAAAAAAAAAAAAGACATAAAAGGAAGAAATCCGAAGGAAATGTGCCCCGAAAACAATAAATTGACCTTAGTAAGAAAAGCTGCTTGCTTCGAGACGGGTAATCAATAATGTATACAACACAATTTTATGGGGGACAAAAATAGACAACCGCGCTTAGCGGGTGTCGGGTTTAAAAAAATGGAGAGAAAATTGCGTAAAAAAAAAACCCACTATGAGATAACGTTAAAAGTTTAGAGATTTTTAAGAAAAATCTTAGCCATGTAGGGCCTCTTTACACTATGCAAGAAAGCGTTAAAGAATGCAATAATTCAGATGGTTGTTTAAGTTCAGTACCACTATGCAATCTTGGATGACAATAGCTAATTAATCCTTTTATTTTTATGAAAGGCGTATTCGTACAGCAAAATGCGAATAATGGATTTTTTTTATATAAACGAAACAAAAAATGTGGACAGAAATTAAATTATAAACTCTACATTCTGAAAACAATATACATGGATCTATACTGTAATGACAATATTCTACAAAATTCATGCGATGCTGAATATATTCTTCTTACCGGAAATAGTCGATGTGTAGACATTGTTGGCCCTTGCTACTCCAGTTATCGCCCCTTTGAACAGAAAAGGATAATATTGTGATAAATTGTACGTCAGTCTTAGCTTCTTCCTAGCAATAAACAATTTCCTCCAAGAGTAACCGGCATCGTTTAATCAGGGCCGGTTCATTTGTTCACGTAGGAATCGCTTTTTACCGTACATTAATAATTTGATGTTTGTGTGATAGTGGGGAAAACAAGAAATAAAATATCTTCTAGCTAGGTTATAAACGATTTATCACGAAAATGATGTCTCATTACTTAAGTGACGTAATATAAAAACGATGTCGTAAAATTATTGTAGTGAAAGTGAGAGTTAAGCTAAATAACCTTAAAACAATATTTCAGCTTGTTAATAAGTGCAACATTTTTTAAATTGTTAAATAAGACACTTTAGTTGTGTTTTTTAAATTGAGTTTTTTATTTTAGTTTAGATTTTCATGCTCCGGAGTCCACTATAGGACCTGATATTAAGTCCAAGCAATGCAAGCCCATTCCAGTTACAAGCAAATGCAGTACATCTCTTATAGAAGGCTGAGAGAAAAATATAGAACCAATACGTTTATGTTGTCATACTCAAGCAGGCTTTGACATTACAGTTTTTTTTAAAGGCGTGTTGTTCAAGAAAATAAATCATTCAATCAACGATGCAATTACATTTTCGCACTTTTTTTTGTTACAGCAGATTCAGTTTTTTTAGCATGCATGGTGTCGCGTGAACCGGAAGGCGTGTTACTGAGATTAAGGGGGACGTTTTCGCGCATGCGTGTTAGGATTTTTGTTAATCTGAATCCCTATAAATGAATTGTGCTTCTTTTTTTTTGTTACGTATAGTACCAAGTTAGTGCATGGCCGAGAAAAGTTAGTTCAACTTTAAAGAACCATTTCAATTTTTTTTTATACGTAAAAAGATTTAATTGTCATTCAATTGAAAGATTTGTTTAAAGTGGTGGATTTTCTGTCATAAATGAAAGAAGCACTTAAAATTGTTTTAAATGGCAAGTTTTAAATGATGAATAAACTACAAAGAGAGACAGTAGTATAGATTCTAAGTTGTTACGTGATATGAAATGCTACAGTAAGCGCCAAAACCACACATGTTGTGCTGCTACTTGATATTACCCCATATCGGCCTAAACATTACTGGTCTCGTAAAGTTTTTTTTGATAAGTAAGGAAGTTAAAAATTCTTTAATAAAAAGTGGTGAAAAAAAACGTAATATTTTAATTAAAAGGATGTTTAAAAAATTATAAGAGTCTTACAATAGTCTTACGCTTTTAAAGTTGGGTAGGGCCTACATGATGAAAGTAATTTTGTTTTAAATTCTAAACTTTCATAGCTCAGTGCACCAGAAGTTAATTCTCTACGTTCATGCAATAAGTTTTGTATTATTATTTGTGTTAGTACATAATTTTGTAATCGGTGTAGCAAGGACTAGATCCCAAGACGTGCACTTATCATGCCTAGAACGATGTTAAAAGTTGAATAAAGGCGGCATTCAAAATTAAACTAGTTACCACTATCTGTATGGTGCTATTAGCACAGGACATATGTCCTTCAGAGGTGTCCTATAGGACACAAGTATTCTAACCTGGTCTTGCTCAGTAGATGATTAACTGTTGGAAAACAACAAATAAAAATAAATAAACAGTGATGTTCATATTCATTACGAAAAAAACAAAAAGAAAGATTAATCATGCTTTCTGTGAATTCGAAAATGGACGAGCCATAGGGCGAGGGCGCTAAAAAAAACCGCGCCAAAATAAGACAGCAAAAAATATGAGGAGAATAAAATAAGAACTGGCGAAACAACAAAAGGGAGGCAATTTTCATGGATCCGGACATCGATAACAATTAGAAAGATGGCGGAGCGCCCCCATCCTCCATTTTCCCACACAACTCAATAAAGGGAAACAATGGCGGTCAGACGGCTGACAATAGGTCGAATAATGCACGAGAGAGACAGCTCGTGCGTGCATACCATCAACGTACGCTCCCTTCGATGTTTATTTTATCACACAAAAAATTGTTCAAGTCACTTGCCGTTTTCATGAAGTTCTACATTGTCATTAACAGCGTAGATCTAAGTCACGCAATTCTGAATATCACTTATTATGTTCTCGTGTTTAGATTTTAAACAAACGCCGAGATAGATGTCGAGGAATATTTTCTTTTAGGAAAAAAAAATCTTGAAATTATTATGTTCAAAACTGAAAGTTGAGCATGCTGAATTTATCAACTGACTTGCATATATTTTGATTAAGCCCATTAAACAATTCTTTTGGCCGAGAATATCAGTACCCAATTAAAAGTATTATAAAACGATTTTGAAATACGTCATTTTTATAGTTTATCAATATCACTGGTTCGACTGAGTGCCCTAAAAAAAAAACCACAATCGACTTTTTTTTATACCTGAAAACAAGACGTGTGCGTCCAGGTGCTTTACAGGTGTGTAGCGTGTACCAGTATTGATCGCTCTGAACAGTTAAAGATATTCAATAGGGAGATATCAACGATAAGTGACGCTGTAATAAGCCGCAGTTAGAAGCCATTATAGCGCGGGGACACAGTACAACAATCCTCTGTGGCTGGCCAGTGCACGCATGACTAGACAACCACAATACACACACGTGGCGAGGTTGTGGAGGCAGAGTAGAATGTATGGTAAATTATTTATTCCCGAGCCCGAATGTTAATATTCCTCATTTGGGGTGCATAATTTTTTGTATTGCTCACTAAAGAAGCATTCAATAGTTAAAACGTCACTTGGTTATAATTTATGGTTGAATTTACTACCGTTATAAAAGGAAAACTATACGGCCAACTGTATAATAATAGTAGTACTGACTTATTTCAGAGAAGATTCGACTTTAAAAAAAAAAACAACATATGAACTGCCTGATTTCTTTTGGAGAATTGCAATTAAAAGTTTTTTTTATTAAAAAGAACAAACTGATAAATCATCATCCTAACAAATCTCTGTTATAGAAAAATGAGCTATTAAAGCTACTGTCAATTAGCCACTCGTTTTTAGGGACACAGAGGCGCCCAAATAGTCCGAGGGCGCCCAGCATTTGGCTAGGATATTATTCTCCATTATTACCACCACTCCGGATTTTTAAACTGGATATTCTTACTATAAGAAGTTCAAGAAGAATCAATCACTAGTTGTGTATGCCTACCATCGCCTTAGTACACATTCTTTACACTACAATAACGATTACGCAATGCACTAACCCTAAATATATCGGGGGGGGGGTGTACGTCATATGTTAATGCTTTTTAACTCCCAAAATAAAATATATCACTGTCGGGAGGCCTGAATATTCTGAGCAAATAAGGTCTAAAAAAAGGTGAATACAACATTACAGCTAATTCCGTTTAATTTTAACCAACAGCTTTAACAGACCCTAACAGCAGCTACACGGCTAAATCACAAAAACAAATTACATGAGATTAATGGTAAGGCATTATTTACTAAATCTTACACGCTGTGTATAGAGTTAAAAGCCACTAATATCTTAAGTGGGGGGGGGGGGGGGGGTGGATATATTATGTTTATAGTTGCCTTTACAGAACTGTATAAATACGTTCATCAATTCTCCAGCAGTGTGTGTAACAATAACTTATTTAGAACACCCAGATTAGCCGGTTTATGTTTAATAAATGGGTTTGAAAACTAAATGCGGAATGCGCCCGTTACTTGAAAGAACAAAGACGAATGTTCACGTCCCATCGGCTACACACAGCTGAGATGAGACTCAAGCACCGAGCACACTGTCGAGGGCTTTAATGCTAGAAGACGGAAGGTCGACAATTGATGCATACTGTTGTATGTCACAAAAGAAACCTATTGTATATTTAAAAAAAAAAGAATAATCTCCCATTATCTCTATAAACCGTTTGGAATTACACGGCGAGTCGGCCAGGCAGCAAGCCAGTTATTTAACTCCCAACAATCCAATTCTAGCATTCTTTGCTCACTAAATCAGCGGATAAACGAGGGTTGAATAATCTTATTATCAAGTAAAAATGAGGCCTAAAACAGACGCTGCTTACAACAAGGCTCACTTTCCCCCGGTCCTATCCAAACACATAGGGACGGTGTGTGATAAAAAAAGGCCTGACCTAAGCGACTGGGACTTTGTGTGGATTCCCGGCTCTGTACATTTTACACTTCTCAGGCCGGGTCGAGTATAATAGGGCTCCCACACACCCGTCCTTTCCCAACCCTCGCGCGCGCCTCCACTCATGCATTCAAGAGATAATGCTCACAACAGCCAGGGGCACGCGCCTGTCACGAGCCGAATTTTTCCCAGGATGAATAAACAGAGAACAGGGAGCTGGGATTTAAAAAAAAAAAACCCACACTATGACTTCAATACCTTACATCTCCCCACCCTCCCAGTTCATGGGTTCAAATTAAAACCACTAGCCTGTCGAAAAATTCGAGGATATTGCTAGTGAATATTTGTAGTTGTATGAATGATAAAAAAAAACAACAAACCTAAACACATTACGCTATCAGGCCTATACGGGTATTATAGCAGAATTCTCACTGAAATAAACAAAAATAGCGAATCAAACCCATATTGTTCGACAGTTTGTCAGACATTTTATAGGGAAGGTGGGGGGTGTGTGTGTGGGGGGGGGGGGGGGGGGGCTCTTAAAACATCCGAGTGTCAGACATTGGTTCAAGTTTATACTTTCTACTTTAATAAATTATATATTTTCCTATTTCGTCTAGTGTGAAGGGGGGGGGCGGTTTATGTGCTCCGGGGAGAGGGATTGATACTATACTCTCCGGGGAGATGCCTGAAAGAATCAGTGTTGTTGGATGTAAAATATCAAGTTTAAATTTAGCTCAAGATCTCAACCAGCAAGCACGGCCACCCCACGAACAGGATGATAGAGGCAGCAGAAAACGATGTGTCCTAGACAAGAGGGCGCTAGAGAGCCTGTAATCAGACAAAGCTTGCTGAAGGAAAGCACAGCGTTAAAGGAGACACGAACTTAGGCGCGAACACATGCGTGGCGGCCTGATTAAAAGAAAAAAACAACAACCCCACCCACCATTATAGCCAAACTTAAAAAAAAAAATCTGGTTAATTTTTAAAAAAAAAGTTATGTACTAAACAGGCACATGATGATAACAATAACTTGCTTTGTTGAAATTTACCTTGCTAAAGGCTTACCACTAACAATTGCGGCGGCCGGGAGGTATCATTATTTATTAACAGGTAGAGTTGAGTGGAGAAAGAGATGATGACAAAGAAAATACTGTTCACTGCTCGGTACAGGGGAGAGGCGAGATCTTGAAACTTACTTGATAAATGCTGCTCTAGCTTGAAATAAACGACAGTTCTAACGAAAGCTAATAATTGCTTTAACTAGAATTATATGATACTACAGATTTTAAAAAGTTAGAAATGTTGAAGTTAAAATAAGTAAAAATTGTATTCATTAGCACTGCGTTTTGAGTTAAAAAAAAAACAGAGTGAAGTCCCTTGGTGCTGACACAAAGGCTGCGCCATGGCAACGGGAACAATTGATAGTACTGTGTCTATGGAGTTCTAGGCCTTTTCATTTTTCTTTTGTTGTTGAAAAATAATGGCAACATAGGGAAACTATTAACTGTGAATATTTCTTTATAAATTAAAAGAAAACAAAGAATCCACACAGCTTATGAATTATAGATTGTTCTTTGAAAGAAGTTTATAAAACACCAACACAGTATTGGGGGAAAAAATTAAGTATGAAACATCTTTTGAAACAAATTTTGTTGTTTTTATTAAAAGTGAAACTGAAAGAAAATCAGCGAGGGAAAGTTAACTCTCAACTGATTATCTGGGATGAAGTTATTGAAATGTTCAAAAGTGGGATAAATGAGCAGAGAATGAGAGACTAAATGCTTTCATCCTAAATCAATGGAAGGAAAAGATCAATGGTTTTATCTTGTCAGGTGTGACAGATCAATGTCCAATACTATGTCCAATACATAAACAAATCAAGATTTTACGCTGAATGTGTAGAACTAGGAGCTGATTCAGAAACAAGATTTTATAAATAATCCAGTACAAACATAACATTGAAATAAAAACAATAAATAAGCTGTTAGTTGTTAGTACTTGATCAACATTGTTGCAAAGCATATTTATATATACATGTTAACAAGAGTGTGATATTTAAATACTGACACCAAATTTTAATTTATGAATAAAACATTACTGACTGTTTTCTTATATTATCATTGAGTTCTGTATAGAGAATTTCCTGAATATTAGTGTTAAATAATCCACTAAACGCAGTGATCAATGTAATTAAAACATTTAAAACATTTAAATTAAGTAAAGATCAAACTTATATTTAGTATTATTTTAATTAACTAACCTAAAATAAGTACACTTAATAAACAAACTGATGTTAAGTTAAAAAAATGTGGAATGTAAAAATATATATAAAAAATAAAGGATATTTTTTATAAACTGAACACAAAAGATTGAATTTAAATTAAAAGCAAAAATATGACACTGGAAAACTTACAATGAAATAAATTCAAGAAAATAAGACAAAACCTATGGAGTAATTATTTTAAAAATTAAAAACAGCAAAACAACAAAAAGGAAAAAAGCAAAAAAAAAAAATGCAAGAAAGCTAGACTTTATATTATCACAAACATAAGGTGAAAAGCTTATTTGACTAATTCTTAAGTATCTGTTTAACATATGTATCGAAACATAAAATAAAAGGATGAAAGCTTCTATTGACTGAAATTAAGGCAACCACAAGAAAAAAAGAAATGTCTGTGTTTGCATCAAGTTATACAAAAGCACTAATCGCACAGAAAGTGAAACAAAAACCAGCATAAACTTGTAGCGAACATGTTATTTTACCTGCTAGGCGTAGCGCTGACATCCTTTGAAACTCCGGCTCTTGCAACCACTTCCACATTCTCCGAAAAGTCTCTCGACCGGACTTAAGTTTGCTCCACGGTTTAGGATTTCGTAAAAGGTCACTGAGTGTACCTTGGCTCCTGCACAACACCCTCTGTGCGAAGACTGCCTGCGGGATACTGTAACGCTTTAGCTCACTGCTGATCCTCTGGGCAAGTTCTTTTGTGTTTATCTCCTCAATCTCCTGTTGCTGTGGTTTCTGAAGGTCCAAGGAAGTACCTGGTCGTTCTCTCTGTGGACTTTCGCTGTGGGGTGATGGTGTGGGGGCATTGTGAATTCCATTCATTGAGACCATCATAGAATTTGGAGAGTGTAATCGCACTGTGTTATGATCTATTCGCATCGGGGATGCTGCGTAAGAGTCAACATAACTGTTCGGTGACGCCATTTTCGGTTCTGACTTTGGCGATGCAAGTCCATTTTGAGCGTACCCGTAGGAGCCAAGACTCTGCTGATAGGATAAGTTATTACCAGACATCATGGTCATTGCGGTGGCGCCCAAGGTGGGCCCCATGTTCATACTCACCCCCATTCCTAGTTTATCATGGTACCTGTGTCCATAGGCTGACATGTCCATTATTCCTGCCCCGAGTCCATTGTTTTGGGACATAAGCGTGAAACTGCCACTGACATTAGGTCCAGTTACGTGGCTGAATTTATCCGAAACGGTTGAAATCGGAGGAAGTGGTTGCAGTGGAGTCAGGGTGGCGTAGTTGTTAGGGCTGTAACTAGGGCTCATCCTACCGTTGAGTGTGTGATAAGTCACATCTCCCATCTGGGAACGGAACTCGCTCGAGTCGATCATGCTGCTCACACTGACCGGAATGGCCTCTGAGCGAGTGATGCTCGTTTCGAGTTCGTCTTGGGGGTTCGCGTAATCCGGTTCTTGGGGTGAGGGTTGGCTCTGAGTGGCCGTTCCGTTAGACGAATCACCGTTGATTTGTTGATCAGCCGGGAGCTCGCCCATGTTTTCCATCGTCATTCCTACAATAAAAAAACGATCGAACAATAAAGAATGATAAACTGTCAACTCGTGTAACCTTTGGTACAGCTTTGCTGGTTGGTTCGTTCGGCTTAGAAGGCTATTACGTACGCTTGGGAACAGGCAGTCTATACCCTCGGCAAGCCTCCATGTTTGGACAGCTGTCACCCAACGACCTGCGCACAACGGACTGCGCATACCAAGTATGGCAGTGCGCATGCGTGAATAATTTTTCCGCGAAGGCTCTGTTGTTGGGGTCTGCATCTATTTAGCGTTTCGAGTTTTAGTTCTTCAAAATGATCAGAGAAAGCGCTTGTCGCGCTCACGTTTATTAACCACCACTGTCCCCGCTATCTTTCTAAATTAAATTTCTCCAACAGGACACTCCTAATTTACTTTTTTTCACCCTTAATTAAGCCCGTTTTTCCTTCTCATCTGTCCGAAATCTCGATAGAACAAACGACTGCCCCTAATCAATGTTTTGATCGAACTTTTCTGGCGAATTTGACAAGTTTAACAGGTGGCAAAACAGCCCCAATGATTTTCGATTTCATCAGAGAAATTGTTCAATACCCAGACCAGTTAAAACAGATAGCGTGGTCTAGGGGTCCCCACAGGACAGAGCTGTGCTGGTGAGAAAGGAACCCATTAATAGTGCATTGGGATTAAATTCGCATTTTTGTTCATTCCTTTTCGTTTCTTCGAACTTTATTTTCTAGAAGGGATACACTATTTTTCAAAATTTAGCCCTCAGTTAAGTCTCATTATTCTGGAACTTGTGAAGCGCTTTTAAGAAACGAATAAACCGCGGTTATATACAAAGGTAAATAGAGCATGAATTATCTTTGTTATTATTAGGTACAGAAGACCAAGACAAAAACGTTAACTAGATACTTTATTCACGAAATAATATATTTAATACAAATTAAATGCAATTAAAAAGCAACAAAGTAACAACTAAAATTTGCTAATTCTTGAATTTGAAGTTTATTTTCTTAATACTTAGTCGAGTTGCAAAAGTAGTTTAGCTTGTTCAATGCCTAGCCTACTGCTCTAACAACAGACCTGAAATTAGGCAAAATATTATTTAAAAATCAAAAAGAAAAAAATAATTTTAATTCCAAAAATGCATTTCGAAAATGAATACACTTTTTTAAAGATCAAAATGTCTTTAAAAGTCGAGTCATTTATAAAATTTATATTAAATATTTTAAAACTTTAGGATAAATATTTTGTTCTCTTTCTTCAAGTTTTACTTTTACAAAAAGCTCTTTTTACTTTTAAGTTGCTTAAATACTAATAGGACATTGCAGACTGTTAAAACAAGATCAACTGTAAATTATTCAATAAATTGAATTTTGAATATTTATTTCTATTGTTGTAAAAATAGTATACTCTAGAAAAATTATTATTTTTAATTTTTAGTGCACAATTTCATTTAAACAAAAACAATTACTCTTTTTGTTGACATTGTTAACGCTAGAAGCGGTAAAAGCTTTCTTCAAACATGGCTGCGCTCTGTGCTTGCAACGAGTTTGTTATTGTTTCCAACGGGAGATGTGTTGCAGCCCTACATTTTAGGTAATGCGGCATATGTTTTAGTTAAAATGAACATGCGACTTACAAAAAGAAAATGCCAAAAAAAGACAATAATTATTATGAGTAGGCTAAATAAAACTCAAACATGGGTTGTTTGTCTATGCCGACTCTATGCTACTCGCCGCACTTCTGCAGTGGTAGCAACTCTGGCTACTCGAGTCTTTTCTGGGTAATCTATCGTTTTAGTACGTAAAATGGGCCGAGACTAGTAATGTGAAAAACAGGTGGGTAAAATGGTAAAACTCCATTTTAGCGTATTTTATTTCTCCGCTGCTTGTTTACCTCCGGTTGAGCGTATTTTATTATAACGACTGAAACACACCAAAACATTAGGAAAACACGATTCATTTATTTGTATTGTATTTTTGTTTTAAAAAATTAAAATGAATTAAAAAAACAAAGACACTGACTTTGTTTTAGATTTTGATAATTTAGTTTTGTTAAAGTTAAAACTTGAGAAAAATCAAAATTTAGAATATTGAATGTGCAATGTTCGTGTGTCAGAATTTTCATGGAAATGGGTGAAGTACGTAAAAGTAACTCACAATTGCAAGGCGGTTAAGTTTGTATTGTTACAAGTATCTCCCAGGCATGATACTATAAACAAACATTAATGAACTTACAATGACCCCAAAACTGAGGCCAACACAATTTCAAATAGCAATTGCCCGAGCTATGACGTATGACAGTGTAAGGATTTTTCTCCCGCTGACGATTACACGAGATTCGATATTTAATTGGAACAGTTCTAGTTCTAATGCTTTTTATGTTTTTTTTTACCTTTTCTAATTAAAAATCACATTCATTAAAAAAAATAAGTAGATCTAGTGTTTTCCTGATGTTTTTGTGTGTTTCGGTTGTGTTTATAATAAAATACGCTTAACTGGAGGTGAACGTGAAGCGGGGAATAAAATACGCTAAAATGGAGGTTTACCGGGTAAAAATCACGATATAGCTTCGGTTATTATTCCGGAACTGTACAGCACAGCAGTAAAAAACAGTAATACCATGATGTAGTCTGTCGTGCCGTTCCTGAAACCACAGAAATACTGTAAACAATCATTTATTTGTCGCCATATTATTTTTAATAGGCCTACATAATGTTTTAAAATTTGCAAGGATTGATTTTAGTTGCATTTTAAATACTGTTTTGCTAGGCCCAACTATTTTGTATTTCTAATTATTTTAAGTAGGCCGTTCGGTTCAACGCTTCCGGGTTTGTCATTTTCGTGGCATCTCACGGCTCATGCGCTTACTAAAATGGCGACCAGTTTCGCTTTCACTAAACGGTAGAGGGATAAAACTAATAATTACGAGGCCATCGTTAATTTTAGACATCGGGACTATCCGTTTCTATTTCAGTCTGTTATTTAAGAATACGGCGCGTAAGTGAAAATAGCTCTATTTATTCTTGTCTTTTAAATCAAATAACTCTGAAATATCGCTTTGCTCATAAACCAGCTTATGTTGCTCATAAACTTTAAAGTATTAATTTAACACACATTACAATTAACTGGTAATAATTTATGGGGTTAATGAGATATGTTCGTGGGAAAACGATCACCCCCAATAATGCCATTTTATTATAATCTTGTTTAGTGAAAACGAGGCGCGTGAAAATGTGTGCTGCGCAAGAATCCAATCATTTGGCTAGATTTATGACTGTTTTTTATGTCACACCTAAAAATAGAATGTTTACGCTTTCTTCAGTGATGATCGTTTTTATTATTTTTTAAACTGAAAGTATGAATTATTAGTTAGATTGCAGATTTTGTAACTTGTTATACTTACCATTTATCAATTTTAAAAGTATAGCATGCTGATTGTAAACATATCTAGTCATGAAACACAGAAATATAAAGTTGCAATTGGGATGTGCCACTCCCGGGTCACACCCCCTCAAGAAAACACGTGTTTATTAAGCTGTTTATCTCACTTTACAACTGTAATTAAAATTAATTTTCAAATTTTTATCACTTATTGGGTAAGATTAAGCACATGTTTACTAAAAAATAAAAAACAAACAAAAGCAAATTCTGTTTTAATGACGGTCACGGGTCAAGTTTTTTTTCCTTCTGTCAAGTTCAGTGGAGGGTGCCACAGGCTGACCTGACTTGGGAATTTTTTCAGTAATAATGATTTTGCACAGAAAGTTAAAATATGCTAAATTGGCTTAGTGTACTAGTGTGCTAGCTATTATTGATACATTTTTAATAAAAAAATCATTCTGTAATTCTCATCAAAAAGCCTATTTTAAGTGTATGCCTCTTGGCAGTATGTGCTAATTTGTAATTATTTTTGCTACTAAACATTATTCTAGTTCTTCTTACTACTTTTAACTTTAGTAAATCTAATCGTCTTATTTTACTAACAGAACTAGAGCTAGATCTAGTTGTCTCAAATCTTCTGCTAGTTTTTTTTCTGTTTCTTAAAAAGACATTAATTACTTCACTCAACTTTATTAATAATATTTAGATTTACTAATTGTTGCTAATTTTTTGTCAATTAAACATTAAATTAAGTTAAAACAACAATTTAATGCACTTGACTCTATTTTTATTTCAACAGTCAAATAAACTATGGTTTACAGCAGGGGTCTCCAAACAAACGAATGATACCGAAACTCAACAAACTTTACCGGATAATTTCTGACGCTATATCGGGATTTTACCAAATAGTGACTCCTTAAATTTTAGTAATTATTTCACATTTATAGGAGGAATTATGTTTTGAAAGTTACAAAAATGTTTTGAAGTTTCATTCGGCCTAATGTAAGCCTACCTGTTTTTTAAACTGTAGGCCTAAAATAAACAATTGTATTAAACCTTTTCAGTAAAAAATATAGAATAGCGATGTTTTCATCAGATGCATTGATGCAACCAAGCTCATTTACTTTAGCAGCCATCTTGTTTTAAAGTTTTATTTTAATAAAATTATAGTTAGAGGTTCAGGGAAACCACTCTAATTTACCATTGGCCACTTTTTACATAGCAAATCCTGCTAGCAAAAACTGCCATTTAAAGTTAATTTCTGGCGTATATTGATATATTTAGTAGCCATTGATTTTGGTTTATTATTCAGTTATCTGTAATATTTTACATAAATATATCACAATATACTTCTATTAAAGCCTTGACAATGAGGCAACTTTTTAGCACATTACTAGCATTACTACATTACATTGTCTCACCTAAAACGATAGATTACCCTTTCCTGGCGTTTCTATAGAATATTTCGTCTAACATACTCATACTTTCCAAGTTAATTATATACCACTATGATTGACTCCTGTGTTTCCTGACAGATTTGTCCATTTTAATTAGGCCTAATGTAGATCTATTTCTATTATTAAAATTTAAATTAGGCCTAAGCGTAAGGCGTAGAGTCCTAATAGACTAGTCTGGGTCATAGTAAAGTTCAAAATGGCGAGGCAGTAAAATGCGAGAAGGGTGTGATTACAGAAGATCTCATATTTTAGCCTTACCCAATGGCGCTGATATTTTTGAAAATTTTACGGCACCTGAATTTCACTATGCCAAGAATTTTCATGAACTTAGTTGAATACTTTGATGCAGATTTTAATTTTTAAACACTGTATTTAGGCAGTTTGATTCTCAACTTCCAGGTTTATTTGTTTATATCCGTATCATGGCCCAAGCACAAGAAGGGCATTTCTAAGATGGCGGTCTGTTTTGTTTTCATTAAGTGCTAGAGGGATAAAACTAGTTATATTGTTGAAGCCATTGTCAATTTTAGTAATTTTAATTTAATTCTGTTTTTTAAGAACCTATGTAATTTCTTTGTTAATCTCACAAGCGGTGCTTTAGTAAAAGTAGCACTCTGTATTCTTGTGTTAAAAAATCAGATACATACATTTTTCGAAAAATTTTGACTCTAAACCAGTGTATTATGATGAAGCTACGTTTTTTCATAATCTCTTTGCCCAAAACAATGCACAGAAAAATGTGTGCCACGCCAAAATCCAGTCAATTGGCTAGATTTATGACCACTTTGTATTTCATGTCGCGTCATACCTAAAAATAGTAAGCATTGAGCTTTCCTCATTGATGAATGTTTTTATCATTTTTAAAGTGAAAATATGAATTATTAGTTAAGATTGCAGTATCTGTAATGTTTTATACTTACTCCCTGTCTATTAAAAAGCACAACATGTTAATTGTGTACTAATATTGTCATGAAATATGAAACCCCATAATTTAAAGTTCAAATTTCAATTTGCCACACCCCTTCAAGAAAGCATGTGTTTACTAAACTGTTTATCACACTTTACAACAGTAATCAAAAATTAATTTTCAAATTTTAATTACATATTTGAGCAACATTTAACACATTTCTACTTAAAATTAAAAACAAACAAAAGTAAACCAAATTTTTATCCCAAATTGTTTGATGATAGAATGATTTCATTCAATCGTGTTGACTTTGAAAATAGGTCGATAATCAGTTTTTAAAAATTACAATTTGTTAGGAAAAGATGTTAAAAATATGAAACGTCAATTACATTCCCCACAGCATTAAATTCAAAACTCAAGTGAATTGTATGTACTTAAAAAGAGTAAAATGCTAGATTACAATAAACTTCAATAATGCATATTTAGTGGGTTTTCAAATTCTTTTTTTGTTCAGAACCACCTTAATGATGGCTTATGAGCTTATGAGGTCTTTTTTTTGTTGTTTGAAAATAGAAGTAGCTTTGTATTATCAAAGTACCTCTCTATTCAAAAATAGATTATATGAAAATGAGAAGCACAATGAAATTTAAGCAACTCAAAATAACTCTTGTTTATCATATTAATATTAAAAGTATATGACATGTAGTAGTTGAAATAAGGCCATACTCACATACATAAAGTGGTGCTACTTTATATGTTCTATATTTAAAAACAACTGACAAATATTGAAATACATACTTAGGGGTCATCCACACTGAGGGGTAGGGGGGTATATGTGGATGTCCACACAGAGGGGGGGGGGGGGTATAAGTAGATTTCCACATGTTGAATTGAACATCAAAGTGCTTACATTTTAAAGCAAATATAAAACTCATATCCTGCATGTAAAACATGAAATTAAGACGACAGTGGTAATGTTAAAAAAAAGCCCATCGCAACTGGTTTGATAAAGCAATAGACTTATACCTACACTGGGGTCATCTATAACATAAGCAACGTCCAGATTTTTAATGATTTTTACCTCCCCTCCCTCCCCAAAGTCACTAATCTTCACTACAGACCAGGTTGGTAATGAGGAAAATCCTGAAAAAAATAACATAGGTAAACTTTGACATTTAACACATGATCGTATTCCTCACTACACTCAAGATACTACTTTTAATATTCAGGCCTAATAATAAACATTAAGTATAAAATCTGAAATTTTTGTGGACATCATAAATAGATGACCCCTGAAAGTATTTCACTGACCATGTTTAATGCCTTATGAAGGGGTGAAATATTGCTGACAAAACAATAGAAAATAATTTAAATTGAACTGCTATTGTTATTTAATTACAACACATTTTGTCCTTCTGACGAAATACCCGCCACCAATTTGCCATCACCCTTTTAAATTTAGTTTGTGTGTGGTAATCTTTGTTAGTGACAACTCCGTGGGGTGGAGAACTCTAGATACCAACTTACCATTTATGGCTACATATACATTAATAGACAAATGATGGTTCTAGAGAACTTATAATAGTAGCTAAGAATTTTATCTATGGGTCATGGAAATATTGAAGGTTAACTGCATTTATAATTGTGTATACTAATATAACATTGACACATTTTTTTGTTATTGTGCCTTACTTGACGGAAGGTAAGAAAAAGAAAAATTTGTGCTCCACACACTTTCTCTCATTCCATAACATATATATATATATATATATATATATATATATATATATATATATATATATATATATAAAGTATTTTTTTTTTAACCTAAACAGTTTAACTTATTAGTGTAACAATAACCCTTGTTAGTCTAGATATGTAGGTGTGAACTGTTTGTGATTGAACAATTTTAGAAAATAGTAAAAAAAACCACTTTTATAACTGTATATAACTATATATATATATATCCAGTTTGGTAAATTACCACTGGGTCTTTTTATATACATTTTCTGTAAATTACCATAGCACTTTATGATGGGATCCCTGTTTCTGAATGTAGTTTAAGAACTTTCTTATTTAATGTTGTTGCTTTCTTAGTTGGGCTCAACAAAGGGTTGCTAGGCAACAAATTAGCACAGTCACTTTGACAGTGGCCCTTATGCTTGGTCTCAAAACTCTCAAGTCCCACAAAGTAATACTGGTAGTTTTTTTCTCTATGTCACATACAAATTAGGATTAAAAAATACAGTCAGTACTTAAAATGAAGTCAACTTATTTTTTAATTTTTTTACAGTTGGTTGGTTTATTGATCTGTGCATAGCCTAGCTGTTATTAAGTTTATTCAACAAAATTGTTCCATTCAAACACTCTAAAAATTGAGCTTTGAATCCATTAGGAAAATATACTTTTTGTTACAGTCTTTTGTTAGATTTAATTCAACCAAATAGTATGGGTTTGAATCCAGTTCAGTTACATTTATTTTATTCCAATCCTACACAGATTATCTAAAAATGTGCTTTCTAATGGAGGAGAGTTAAGAAAAGTCAAGTTTTTAAATACTAAGTAAGCTAGTGATTAAGGGTAAGGCTAATTTGAAAATCCAAGCTAGTTAACCATAACCGCCTGCACTTGAGCATAGAAATAAAACTTCAACTATTTGTTGATTGCAGCGCAAGGGTTTTTATATGACTGAGCCTTATTTAGATTAATATTTTTTAAATATTTAAGTAAGATATGGTTATTTAAAAAAAAAGGTTTAATATATTCATGTATGAAGTACAAATGCTACTTTTATTCTAATATGTAATATTTATTAAAATCAAAGATAAAAAATACCCAAAAATAAAAAACAGCTCAGATTAAACCGTGTTATAAGTAAATATATCTATCGGGTTAGAAGAATTGTGTTAATCCTGCCTGTATTATCAAAATGTTTGCAGAGAAAATTGGATTTCTTTAATTTGGTTCATCTTTCATGTCAGTGCTGTTAGCCCAGCAGCCACAGCCTTTGAAAGCCTGGGCACCAGTGAAAGACACAACAAACACTGCAGAATGGGGGGCCAGTGACAGGGCTCTGTGTAGAGAGATATCTGAGGGCCCGGTGACAGGGCTCTGTGTAGGGAGATATCTGATCACTGGATGGGTTCTACTTGCACATTGATTTTAGGTGCTTTTTTTTTTATACACAGACCATCTTCAGCACGTTTGTGAAAAACTCTTAATTTACATTTTGTATAGTATATATTTCTTTATATCTACAAAACAGTCTCTCTATCTTTGTATGTATCATTGTATGTATTATGAATTTATATATCCATACATAAATATATATAATATATATATATATATATATATATATATATATATATATATATATATATATATATATATATATATATATATATATGAATGTGTGTGTGTGTGTGTTATTTTATACTGATATATATATTCATATATTTATATTTACATTTCTGTAAATTATATATATATATATTTATATATATATATATGTGTGTGTGTGTTTATTTATACTTATATAAAAAGGTGTGTATGCATATATACAAATGTATATATAAATTTCTATAAAAATACATATATGTACACAAACAAATATAATTACAGGACAAACTTCTTAAATGCAGGTAATTATTTTTACCGTGAATATTTCCTCTAAGAATAAAAGCCATTTTACCTGTAGCAGGAAAGATTCTTGAGCTGTTCCATTTCTCAGTCTTTGACTTGACTGGTCTGGGACCAGTCCTGTGGCTGTGTGATTTAAGCAAACATTTAGAAAAGAACTGCTAAACCGTGAAGGAAAGATGAAAGAAACTGAAATGGTGCAGAGTAAATCATAATAATACCTGCATAAAATCAATATCCCCAATCAATACTCCACTTAATGAGAAGATCGATAGATCAATAGGCAAACTGCTGGGCTGTATGTGTATGTAAGAAGGGAATAGAACTCTAATGGGATATTCCAATAATGCTTTATGTGGGTATTTTTATACACTTGGTTAGCGATTCAGGCCAGGCATTTTGTTCTGTATTGAAGAGATTTGGTCCACGTGTTTACGTAATCTAAAAGTTCAATCAAAGATTTTTTGTATACATTTATTTGTTCACATTTTTTGTTAACAACAAATGTGGTTAAATAATGTAAAACTGGGAACCTTTAATAAAGTAAACAAAATAATGGGGAAAAAAAAAATTATTAAAAAAAAAAGACAAGTTATTAAAAAAAAATATCTCTGCTGTAATCCTTAATTTTATGTTGATTTAGGTTTTTTATCTTAACGATTTATTTTTTAATTAAAGCAACCCGGAGGAAATCCAGTTGCTGGACGTGCCAGATGTCCAGACAAGTGGCGCCCAGTCCCAGAAGACAGATAACGGTGTGGCAAATAAAACACCTAAGGCACAGAATAATGGACGAGACTTAGGGGATGGTAACACAGACACGAGGTAACCCACTGTCTCTCTCTTGTATGGCTAACTTTTATCCACTGTCTCCCTCTTGTAAAGCTAACTTTTATCCACTGTCTCCCTCTTGTAAAGCTAACTTTTATCCACTGTCTCCCTCTTGTAAAGCTAACTTTTATCCACTGTCTCCCTCTTGTATGGCTAACTTTTATCCACTGTCTCCCTCTTGTATGGCTATCCACTGTCTCCCTCTTGTATGGCTAACTGTTATCCACTGTCTCCCTCTTGTATGGCTAACTTTATCCACTGTCTCCCTCTTGTATGGCTAACTTTATCCACTGTCTCCCTCTTGTATGGCTATCCACTGTCTCCCTCTTGTATGGCTAACTTTATCCACTGTCTCCCTCTTGTATGGGTAACTTTATCCACTGTCTCCCTCTTGTATGGCTAACTTTATCCACTGTCTCCCTCTTGTATGGCTATCCACTGTCTCCCTCTTGTATGGCTAACTTTATCCACTGTCTCCCTCTTGTATGGCTAACTTTATCCACTGTCTCCCTCTTGTATGGCTAACTTTATCCACTGTCTCCCTCTTGTATGGCTAACTTTATCCACTGTCTCCCTCTTGTATGGCTATCCACTGTCTCCCTCTTGTATGGCTAACTTTCTTTTTTCATTTGTCTCACATTTTATGTCAGCTACTAGAAGTGGTATTTTGAATTACACTGAGCATTAGGCAGTCGTCTCTGTTTAGTCATTTTAAGAGCACAATTAACTATTAGACCACCCCACTTTCCTATTGTATTGACTCTTTGTCTCAACTGGTTTTATTATTTCCACTTTGTCTCACCTTATTTATCTTAGAACTGGCCTTTTCTGTCACTATACAAGTATTACTTAAAATTACTATTGGTCCAACTACATCACTTTGCTAATTATAATATTGGTCATTTACCTCACTTTACTAGTGTTAGCACTTATCATTTACCTCACTTTACTAGTGTTAGCATTGATCATTTACCTCACTTTACTAGTGTTAGCGTTGGTCATTATCTCACTTTACTGGTGTTAGCACTTATCATTTACCTCACTTTACTGGTGTTAGCATTGATCATTTACCTCACTTTACTAGTGTTAGCACTTATCATTTACCTCACTTTACTTGTGTTAGCATTGATCATTTACCTCACTTTACTAGTGTTAGCACTTATCATTTACCTCACTTTACTAGTGTTAGCATTGATCATTTACCTCACTTTACTAGTGTTCGCACTTATCATTTACCTCACTTTACTAGTGTTAGCATTGATCATTTACCTCACTTTACTAGTGTTAGCATTGGTCATTATCTCACTTTACTGGTGTTAGCATTGATCATTTACCTCACTTTACTAGTGTTAGCACTTATCATTTACCTCACTTTACTAGTGTTAGCATTGGTCCAATTGCATCACTTTGCTGGGTCATTTGTTTGAGCTCACTAGAATATGTATTGGTCATTTGTATTGGTCATCGACTCACTTTAGCGTTTTTATTGGTCATTGACTTACTAGTGTTTCTATTGGTCCTTTTACTCACTGTACAAGTTGAAGAAGCTGCCCAGTTTTCCCTTACCAATTCAAGAGCCCCCCCCCCCCCCCCTTTTAAAACTGATATCTAACATTAAAATGTTTGCCTAGATTTATGCCCCAAACATCTGTGTCAAAGATAACATTAGCCTCCCTTTGATGTTTTCCTAGTTGAAAATCTTGAGCTGGTCCAACAATTTTAATAGATCAGTAATGTCATAATTCTGTGTATTGTTCTATCCAGCTCCATTAGTAGAGGTAGTATTGTACAGGACTTGCTTGTTATAAGCTCAAGTAGAGGCTAGCTTGTTTAGATATTTTTGTCTATGTATGTTATTTTTTGATGATGTGGAGAGAAATGGGTTTGTTCACTGTTCAGATATTGGATTCTGTGTGTTTTGGGGAGATGGACTTGTTTAGTTGTTGGTTTCTATGTGTTTTGGGGAAATAGACTTCTTCAGATGTAAAATGTTGGTTTCTATGAATGTTTCTAATTGATACTTGTGTTTTGGGGAAATGGGCTTGTTTAGATGTTGGTTTCTATGTGTTTTGGGGAAATAGGCTTGTTTAGATCAGGGGTCTCCAAACTACGGGCCCGCGGGCCAAATGCGGCCCGCGAGGTCCTCTCATCCGGCCCGCTGAGATCTTTTTGTCCACGGAAAAAAACGTTTGTTAGTGATGGCTGAGGAACTTTGCCTAGAAAAATCAAAGACATGCCTGTAAGAAAATGGCCCTCGAACTGAAATTTTATAGTTAATGCGGCCCTCGGACTGAAAAGTTTGGAGACCCCTGGTTTAGATGTTGGTTTCTATGAATGTTTCTAATTGATACTTGTGTTTTGGGGAAATGGGCTTGTTTAGATGTTGGTTTCTATGTATTTTGTCTTAAAAACACATTGTCTTTCCAATATGTTTGTCTCTTACAAACATTAAGTCTTATTAATTTCTTGGTCTCTTTAACAATATATCATATCAGTGTGATGGCCAACGTGTTTGCCCCTAACAATATACTACACATCCCTCCATTACGACCTCCCCAACCAACCTGCAGCCTGAAACCACTTCATGCATGAGCTACCAGCTGAGATTTCCTTTAGTTACACTACCAGCCAACTGATTTCATTAAAGCTCGATTAGTCACAACCCCTGCAGTACGGCCTGCTCATCCTATTTCTGTTTTTTTTTCATTACTCACTGACTGACGTAGACTGGATGGTCGCATCTTGAGATCAATACTTCTTACCCCCCTCACCCGCCCCCAGCCTTTCTTAAAGCTGCTATGCACATAAAGCAGGTGTGTCAATATAAAAACCAAACAATCTAACGACTGCCTGTTAGGAGCTCCACGTCTCAACCTGAGGCATATATACACACACACACACACACACACACACATATATATATATATATATATATATATATATATATATATATATATATATATATATATATATATATATATATATATATATATATATATATATATACGTATACGTGCATACGTATATATATAGGCTTATATATAAATATATACGTGTATACGTATATATATAGGCGTAAAATGTATATATACGTATATATGTTTGTATGTGTATATATATATATTTATATATATATACATATATATATATATATATATATATATATATATATATATATATATATATATATATATATATATATATATATATATATATATATATATATATGCCTTTATATACGTATACACATGCATACGTATAGTTTGTGTGGTCTTACTGAGATTCTTTAGTGAAATAGCCCTCTCCCTGAAACCTTGACCATGTGCTTTAAGAATGTATTAATTCAGAATGTACTTAAACCAATGAGTGACTGAGACTATTTCTCTCATTACCCCTACATTACCCCTCCGTCCTACTTCTCAGACTACCTTTGTTATCTGTTTAACTGTAAACAAGCAGAGTGCGCTATAGACCAGGAAATTAGTCTCTAGATTTAAAATTTAACGGCGTGTACACACATTAAAAGACAAATGGTTTGTTTAAAATATGACAGCAAAATGATGAAACAAAAAAAAAAAACATACACAAAAAATAAATAAAAACATTACACGATAAATTAGCGATGTGGCGTTTTTTGTTTTCTGTATGCCGGATGTAGCATATTAAACATTTTGTTTTCTTTTATCTCTATGGCTGCCTAGTTGTGTTGCTTCAATGACTGGTTTTAATGTCGTGGGTTTTAATAGGCCTATAATTATACATCAGTGGATGATTATAATGATGTCAGCAATCAATCATGTTAAAGCTCCATGTTACAAAGTAACCTTTAACAAAGGTGTAGTCTAGGGATACAAACCATACTTGGTGCTAACGTTTTGTCAAAGATAGAAACTAACATTAACATTGACACAAACATATAGTGATACAAATCATCAAACATATAGTGATACACACCATACTTGGTGCTAACGTTTTGTCAATGATAGAAACTAAACTTGACACAAACATATAGTGATACAAACCATACTTGGTGCTAACGTTTTGTCAGTGATAGAAACTAACATTGACACAAACATAGGGATATAAACATTCTTGGTGCTAACGTTTTTTCAATGATAGAAACTAACATTAACACATACATATAGGCATACAAACCATACTTGGTGCTAACGTTTTGTCAGTGATAGAAACTAACATTGACACAAACATAGGGATATAAACATTCTTGGTGCTAACGTTTTTTCAATGATAGAAACTAACATTAACACATACATATAGGCATACAAACCATACTTGGTGCTAACGTTTTGTCAGTGATAGAAACTAACATTGACACAAACATAGGGATATAAACATTCTTGGTGCTAACGTTTTTTCAATGATAGAAACTAACATTAACACATACATATAGGCATACAAACCATACTTGGTGCTAACGTTTTGTCAGTGATAGAGACTAACAGTAACATTGACACAAACATGTAGTGATACAATTCTTGCATTTACTGCGGACTTATCAGTGATACTAAGTTTGATCAAAACGCTAATGTTACTTAATGATAACGATTGTTCAATGATACAAAATATCCTTGATGTGCTTTCAGTTTATGATGCGAACTACTTTTGATAAAAACGAACTGTGATACAAACTATCCTTGAAAAGATCTGTATATGATACAAACTATCCATGATAAGATCAGTTTAGGATACAAGCTATCCATGATTACAAACAATCATTGTGATTTATTGAAGCTTCTTGACCCCCCCCCCCCTCCTTAGGCTGGGCGGCCAAATTGTAAAATTCACATTCGTTAACGAATCACTTCCGACATGAGACCTAAGGCGACCATCGACCGGAATGGAACCTGGTTCCTTTGATCCTGCACCCTACCCCTGTCTCTCCTACTTAAGCTTTGATACCGAGGTATTTAAACTTAGTTTGTCCGACAATTCTTTCCTTAGTTCTAGTTTGTCCAGGAAGTGGGCTGGGCCGT